TTGTCCCAATTCCATTTCACTTCTGAGTTATCCATACTAAAAAAGTTTGCTTGATACACAAAAAATGCAACTGTGGCACCAAAAAGATCCAGGACCTGACTTATGGAAATTAATGAATAAAGAACAGTATTTGATAGGGGTAGTAGATAAGTCATAAATTGATGCACAAATCATTTTTTTGTTGTTGTTGTCAGATTAGACTAAACAGCACGAGATGGCCACATATCTTATGTAAATTGGGCACCTTTCTGTGATTTCTAAGTAGGCACCACTAGTTTAGGGAAAATTTGAGTAGGAGCTTTGAGGAAGCTCCAAAAGTAAATGATAACTAACAAGGAAAAGTGCTTTGAGTTCTGATTTAATTTTTCACAAGAAAAGACAATAGATGGATCTGGCTATAAAAATGAAACTCTCAGGCATGCAATTCTTTCAACAACTACCTCTTCCTTTGCTTTTTCAGTGCTAGTTCCAAATTCTCAGCTACCATGAAATGAAAAACATTAACAACAAAAAGACATGTTGTGGTAGAAAGACATGCATGAAAAGACATGCAGTTGACTATCAACTAGAAGCAGATGGAGGAAATCATGAGGGCACAGGTTGTTTCCTACTCGAGGACTCAGGAAGAAGCTCAATGTTTGTTATATTCTGAGCAGTAAATATGTCTTTGAATACCCACACCTAGCAAAACTGCAGAGAATAAGGACTTAATATGCAGTGATTCAATGAACAAATTATAAAGGGTTGTAAGGCTTAGAGATAAAGCATAGTGGCAAGCATAGAACTTAACAAATGGCCGTGCTATTAGAGATGCCCTCTGGCCCACACTGACTTATTTTTCAGCCTTATGCAAATGGTTCCACTTTAAGAATTTATAATTGGAAAAAAAAAGAATAATAATCTAGAGGTTGGGTTCCTGTGCCTGTAATCCCAGCAATTCAGGATGCCAAGGCAGGAAGATTGCAGCCTCAGCAACTTGGTGAGACCCTATCTCAAAATAAAGAAATAAAAAGGACAGAGGATGGTAAAGCACTCCTGAGTTCAAACCCCAACACACACACACACACACACACACACACACACACACACCCCAAAGCAACAACAACAAAAAAAATTTAGAAACAGTGCATTAGTTTCCTTGATAACTTACAACAACTAATTTATTTTCTCATGGTTCTGAAGGCCAGAAATCTGAAATCAGAATCCCTTTGCCAAAATCAAAATGTCAGCAGATCCATATTCCCTCCAGAGGCTCAGGGGAAAATTTATTCCTTGCCTCTTCCAGTTTCTGGTAGCTCCTGGTATTCCTTGACTATGGCTTTATCACTCTAATCTTTAAGACCAACATCTTCAAATCTTTAAGTTCTACCTTCACATTGTCTTCTCTGTGTGGGCAAAAGCTCCCTCTGGCACTCTTTTATAAAAATGCACATATTTGTATTTAGCGACCCCACAGATAACCCAGGATCATMTCCCCATCTCAGAATCCTTAATCACATCTGCAAAGACCCTTTTTCCAAATAAGATTTTTAGGTTCCAGGAACTAGGACCTAATGTCTTTTGGTACTGTTATTCAGCCTATCATATCTCAAAATTAAACACAGCCAATGAACAGGGCATATAGTAGTGTGTGCAAGAAGTCTCAAGATGTCTATCAGGAGGAGGATATTTGCTGCACATCAGGGTTATTTCTGTGTAATTACTATAGTTATATATGTGGTATTATTGACACAGCACATGTATCCAGATGTTTCAGATTCAAATTAAAGTCTGAGCTGCCTAACAACCTTCAGAATAGAACAATTGTCTAACCTGAGCAATGTCACATTATCCATGTTGAGTGGACTAAAGGCCTAGCTTCTTCTGCTTATCACTTGGTTTCAGTTCTACCAACCACTCTTCCTTATTGTTAAACATACCCTAAGGGAGGAAATCTAGGGAGTTTGAGTAAAAGGAATATATTCTGCAGCCTTTTATTTAGTAGGTTCACTAATGAGTCAAACTGGATACTAGCAAGAGATTTAGGATTTGACTCTTAAATTTATTTCCTTTTTTTTTTTTTAAACTACTCTTCTGTTGCAGAATCCTCTGTGGTTCTTAGACTTACAGGTTAGAAGCACTGCGTGTGTGAGAAAAAGTGTGTATGTGTGTGTGTGTGTCTGCTTGCAGGGCTAGTCCTACACCAAGCTTATTCATGCTGTTTGCCTACTCATCAGGAATCAAGTCTGCTGGCAAATCATCCTACAGGCTCCTAAGGCAAGGTTGAGTGAACTTTTCATACATGAAAAAGATGGATATTAATGTCTGAGCAATTTTCAAGCCAAAATTATGCTTTCATGCAYTTGAAAGTTGTCATTTCTTGATTTTTTTTCTAGCAATACTAATAAATATCATATCTTTAGAACACTTCAGGGCTGGGATTAGGGTAAAACAAGTGATACACTTGCCTTGGGTACAAAATTTAAGGGGATGCAAAAAACTCAGTCATAAACTAATACTCTAATGTAATAATTTCAAAAAATCAAAGCAGCAAACTATAGTCAAATGGTTAATCACCTATTTTTATAAATAAAGTTTTACTAGAATGAACCAGGATTAGTGTATCAGAGTCATGCAAGTATTAACTGGATCTTGTCTTTAAAATATGGATATTGTTTTCATTGAGTATATTTTTGCATTGTTTTAATTTTTAAAAATAATTTTAAATAATTCTCATTTTTAAATGATTAAATTTTTAAAAAACAATTTATACTCCAATTTTTACAAGATAAGCACCCTTCAAATAACCACTACACTTTGTTATGGAGCAAAAGTGTTTTGTTTATTTTCCAATATATCACAAAGGATATTAAAAAAGATATACTGAAGAATCAAGATTCAATAAAATTAATACTTTGTACTACTTCATCAAGTATATTGTTAAGTGAAATTGAAGGGTTTTCTTTATTATGAGTACATAAAGGCCAGAAATTTAACTCACCATTACTTCTGTACCATCAATGCAAATGCCAATGCAGTAAAAAGGGCAAATAAAATCTTAGAATTACTATGAAAATAATTTTGACCATACAGACCCCTTGGCAAGTCCCTGGGGTCAATAGGCAACTGTAGCCTTAAAGAATAAAGTTTTACCAATACATTAAAACCATTGTAAATAGGATAGAATCCTTAGATGGGGGCAACGTAATTAAGACTTACCCCCAAATTAGTTTTACAATAACAAATGGGGAAGAGAAGCAAACTGACCCATCTGATATATAAACAGTTTTGAGCAACCACAAAATCTTTGATGAGGCTAAAGGTAAGATATGAAAAAAATGTAAAAAATCTGAATGCTATGAATATAATCAGTGACCTAAAGGTATGGCTATTTTAGGGCAAGTGGAGAAACACAATYCCACCTACCTTTCGCCTCCTATGCCTGGCCTCACCTCCCCTGTAAGAAAGGAGCAGAAGGCTCTAGAGCAGCAACAAAAGGAAGAGAAAGGCACAAATTACACAGCACACCCTATGCTGTTCCAAGATTCTGGGGTCAGTTAATGGAGCTCTCTTCTGCTGCTTCCTAGTGCACAACGTTGGGCACATTCTCAAACCACTACCTGTTTCAGTCTCCTCATAGAAATATGAATATAATTCGTATTATGAATATAATTCATAAAAGCTGGGACTGGGGGTGTGGCTCAGTGGTAGAGCACCTGCATAGCATGTATGTGTCCCTGGATTCCATTTCTAGCACCCCCTCTCCCCCCCAAAAAACATTGAAAGCCATCTGATTGACCATTGCTAAGGTACTGGAAAACTGTATATGGGTAATTCATACAATGAATTACCTATTTTTTGTCTATTTTTCGTATGATTACTATAAAGARTATATGAGATGACAGAGTTAAAGTATTTATCATGGTGCCTAAGAGAGTAAGTATTCAATAAATATATCTTATTAGCTGGGCATGGTGGCACATGCCTGCAATCCTAGCTACTTGGGAAGCCAAGGCAGAAGGACTGTGAGTTTAAGTTCAGCCTGGGCAACTCAGTGAGGCTCTGTCTCAAAATAAAACAACAGTAACAAAATAAAAGATCTGGGATGTTGCTCAGTGGTAGGGCACTTGCCTAGCTTATGCAAAGCTCTGGGTTTAATCTCCAGTACTGAAAAAAAAAAGTATCCTGTTAAAAATAAAAAAATATATACTTCTGTACTTATTCATTACTATTTTCTTAGTCTGTTTCTGCTGCCATAACAAAATGCCTTAGACTGGGAAATTTATGAACAATAGAAATTTATTGCTCACCATTCTAGAAACTGGGAAGTCTGAGATCAAGGCACTAACAGATTCAGGGTTTGGTGAGGACCCATTCCTTAATTTTAGTTGTGCCCTCATATAGCACAAAGGACAAACACTATGTTGTCAAATGTGGGGACAGCTCCTTCAAGTATCTTTTATAAAGGCACTACTCCCAATCACAAGGATTCCATCCTCATGACCTATTCACCTCCCAAAGTCTTCCCTCCTTTTAATATCAACATATTGGGGATTTGATTTCAACAAATTTAGAGAGACAAAACATTCAAACCATAGTACCAGAGTTCAATAACTTTCCACTGCATGTAAAAATGCTTAGATCAGTGCCTTAGCAATGTTAGATAGTCAAAAAGGGTCTTTTCCACCCTCCCCAGCCAGAGTGGAAGCCTGTTGGACCTGTCACATCATCCATGCTCCTTTGAGTAGCACAATAATTCACTGAAAAGCTCACACTTACATATGAAAAGTATACATAAAGGTGCAAATTATTATGTAAAAATTGAAATGTTTATTATATGGTTGAACCATGTTTTATATCTTCTTAAAAATCATTTTATTGGTGTTGAAAATATATTTGAAAAACAAATAATTTGTATAAAGTTAAACCAGAAAACATTGCCTTACAAACAGAAAAATGAGGAAATTATTCTTGTGGGACAAAGAATACCAAGATAGAACTTTTCTTTCTGCCTCCCCCACCTGTTTCTTTAGGAGATGGTGAGGTGCTGGCCCAGGGTGTGTCGTCTTCAAATTGAACCCAGTTGCTGATGGCTGAGGCCAGGTCAAGTGAGGGCTGCTCGGGGCTCTCGGGAGGAGAGGCCACTTCAGAGATGAGACCCATCTTTTCAGAGGGTCCTTCAGAATGGAAGAGAGAGGCAAAAAAGATGTCATTTTGTGAGCTGGGGTTGTGGCTCAGTGGCAGAGTGCTTGCCTAACATATGTGAGGCACTAGGTTCGATCCTCGGCACCACATATAAATAAATAAATAAATAAATAAAGGTACATCAACAATTAAAAAATATTTTTAAAAAAAGATGTCATTTTGTAAGACAGAGAGATGCTACATGCCTGGATTTGGAGACAAAGAGGGTGGTCACATGTCAAAAAATGTAGGCAGCCTCTGGAAGCTGTAAAGGGCCAAGTTATAGATTTGCCCTTAGAGCCTTCAGAAAGGAATGCAGTCTTGACAACACCCCAGGGCACTCAGGACACAGAATTTTAAAATCATATAGTCTCATGTTGTTTAAGCTACTATGTTTGTGATACATTATTATAGCAGCAAGTAGAAACTAATATAGACTCAAAAGTTATCCAATCACCTTTGATGTTTCAGTATATGACAACAATAAATAGCCAGGCTGCCAGAAAGGGAACTAACAACTGGCTTCTCTGAGTTTCTCAGTACAGCTTCTAGCCATTTAAATGCCACAAAATCAGTGCTTTACTAGTTTCAACCATCTTCACTCCTGAAGATCTGRAATCCATTCAGTAGTCTGAGATATGAGAATCTCCATGTTCAACTAATCTCACTGGGGACTCTACAAGACATGGTTAGTGATCTACTCTTTGAGAGACATTCATTTGTATGCATAAGGAAATTACAATTTAGATACATAAATAATTCCAATTCCTAATAGTTTTAAAAATACATGTATTCTTCTAAAGACAAGTCAACAGCCAAGGACAAGGGTAAAAGGCTGAAAATGCCCAGAACATGTAAATTCTTTTGTGTGTATGGGGCTGTAGCTCAGTGGTAGAGCACCTGCCTTGCACATGTGGGGCACTGGGTTTGATCCTCAGCATCACATGAAAATAAATAAATAAAATAAAGATATTATGTCCATTACAATTGGGAAAAAAACCACTATATAATTAAACCATATGAGATCTCTGTCTACTTTCTCCTATGCTGGAGCAAATAAAATAGAATCCTGGCAGCCCTAAATACTTCCCACAGAAAAGCATCCTACTGAGCACATACCAAGGCAGACCTTTTCTTCCTGCCTTCCCCACCTGTTTCTTTGGGAGATGGTGAGGTGCTGGCCCAGGGTGTGTCATCTTCAAATTGAACCCAGTTGCTGATGGCTGAGGCCAGGTCAAGTGAGGGCTGCTCGGGGCTCTCGGGAGGAGAGGCCACTTCAGAGATGAGACCCATCTTTTCAGAGGAATCATCCTGCTCTGARTGGGAAAGGTCCTGGGAGGCTCCATCCACCACATGGTTCTCCCCAGAGGAAGTCTCAGACTGGTCTGAAGAAGATGACAGTACTGGGAGGTGTTCTTCAGTGCCCCCTGAAAGAGATACCAGATACTGCTATGTGAGGAAGTACAGTCATCAGAACTGTCTTACAGAGGCAAACACTAAGGATGGGCAAAGGATGACCATGGGACTTACCATTATAGTGGGTGGGAAGATGAAACAGTCATTCTGATCCATCCCTAWGCTAAATAACTGTTTCTCCAGTAATTGTAAAAACTATATTAGCATGTCCCCAGTCAGTTTCTATACAGGTTAAGAAGTGGAATCTTATTCACTATTTTTATCTCAGTATGTACTCCAGGGCTTGAGGATTACAAATTAAAATACTTAGAGAAGTCAAATAAGAAATATAACTAAGTTGAATGGAACAAATGAAAGGCAACAGAAGCTTCTGGAGACTGTGTCTGAACAGTAGTACTTTTCTTCAGACCAAAAATATTTAAATACAAATTTCAAACTGTGTAGTCCAAGCTATGCATGTCTTCATGCAACAGGTGCAAACTCTGCACTAATGACTATGTGAATATGATACAGAGGCTCTTCCTGTAGCTTTGTATCACTTTATTGGTCCTGGAATGTGTAATACACTTAGAATGTTTGCGGGTTTTTTTTTTTAAATAAAAGAACCATATACTGCATATGATGGTGGATATATTTACATATGTGCTAAAATTCATCAAATTTATGCCAAAACCCACCAATTTTTAGCACATGAATTTTTTTGTTTTGTTTTGTTTTTGTAATGGAGATTGATCCCAGGTGTGTTTTACCACAGAGCTACATCCCCAGACCTTTTTGAAACTTTTAAATTTTAAGACAGGGTCTTACTAAGTTGCTTAGGGCCTTTTAACTTGCTGATCTGGCCTCAAACCTGCAATCTTATGCCTCAGCATCTTGGGTCACTAGAATTACAGGTATGCACCACATACCCAGCTACTTACATGAAAATTTTTAAAAAGCATAGAATTAACATGAAAATCCTTTTTCATATCACTAGCCAAATAAATTGGCAACCTGCATATAACCAAAGTCTTTAGAGTAGAACTACCTAATAGTAATAAGAGATGAGCCATAGTAATAAAAGTGAGCCATTGAACCCAATGTCTTTTTCATGCAAAGCACATCTTTACCACTAAACTAAATCCCTAGACCAAGAAACTTTTTTTTTTTTTTTTTTTTTTTTTGTGGTGGTGGTGGTGGGGTACCAGGAATTGAATTCAGAGGCACTCAACCACTGAGCCACATTCCCACCCCCTATTTTGTATTTTATTTTAAAATAGGGTCTCAATGAGTTGCTTAGCACCTTACTGTTGCTGAGGCTGGCTTTGAACTATTAATCCTCCTGCCTCAGCCTCCCAAGCCACTGGAATTACAGGCATGTGCCACCATGCCTGGCCCAAGAAGCCATTTTTAATAATATGCATTTCAACCCAGTATATTGGAAATATATAATTTCAACATGTAATCAATATAAAAACTGTTGATGAGATATTTCACTTTTTTTAAAATTAGGTGTTCAAAATGCAAGTTAGGTACTTTTTACCTTCAGAACATTTCAATTCAGATTCGCCATATTTCAAGGACTCAGTAGCCATATGGGTATCACCTTGGGTGGCACTGTAGATTCATATTTTCCAGGTGTTATAAATGAAGGTCGGATGATTTCAGCTGGCAATGGCAGCTGTGGAACAGGACCAACTGGCATGGCTCTATAAATATTCCCTGGATTCTGCCTTGGCCTTCATTCCTGAGCATTAGTTCCCTAAAAGACACTATAATCACCTTTATCGTGACCAGAGATGGCCATGCTGAGCTCTTTCTATGTGCCAGGCACTATTCTAAGCATTTTATGTATGTTAATTTGTTTGATTCTCATTCAACCTTCCCAAGCAGATACCACCATTACCCTCTTAGGCAGATAATGAAACTGAACAGAGAGGTTAAATAAATAAATTTCCCAAGGGTATACCACTTATCTATGATGAAGCCAGGATTTGAACTCAAGCAATATGGCTCTGGAGCCAGTCACTTTTAACAGCTTCACGTTAAAAATTCAGAAAACCCAAACTGCTGGTGGGAGTAAGCGCCAAAAAGGCTRATAGTGAAGTACTTTGTAAAGATAAAGTTTATGTTCCTTAAGAACCAATACCTTTGGTATTTCCAGGCTCTTTTCTAGGCCCTAAGGTTACTTAGATGCATCTCTAGACTTATAAATTTAAAAATTCACACATCTTGGGAAGGTGACTAAAGTAGACTTTCTTCGTTGTTAAGATCCTTTTTCAAAGAATGACCAAGTAGAAAATATAACAAGCAGGCATGGTTCTTCACCAATCTTGTCACATTAGGAAATGAAAGCATTCCTTACCCTCAGAAGGGACAGGAAAAAGTGGCTCTTCATTGAAGGAGACCCACTCTGACTGATGCGTAGCAATTACGTGGTCCAAGGTCGTCATGCTAGGAAGGCACTGGTCATCTTCACACTGGTGGACCCTAGAATAATATCTGGGTGGAGGGATATATGGCAGCACGGTCAACTTGGCCTACAGTCTGTAACAGGGGTCTTGCTGGGGGAAGTTCTCAGAACATAGATTAGCCTTTCTTGCCTTTGATTAATCTGCCAAGCAGATATCTGTAAAACAAACAAAAAAACAAAAAGCAAATGATAAAGGATAATCATCACATTTTACCAAATCCGAACAGGCCTAGGACTTTCAGCCCTGCCCATGAGAAATTATGAGATAGTTTATAACTTGCCATATTTTTCTCTACTCCTGTCTTGCCTTTATTATGATGAAACATTTGCCATTAGCATCAAGATCTCTGGATAAACCTTCATATCAGACTTCTGATCATCTGACTGATCAAATTTTGGTAACTAGGGTCCCTAATTTCCGCAATCTTTACATTTCAGAAATATTATCTATAATATAGTGCTATCATGGTAAAGCAAATATTAAAACTTTTCAAAGTGTTTTCACTTTATTTTACCAGATGGTAAAATAAAAGCATGTTCTTTTCTATTAAATCAGTGCAGTTTCTTGCCTTAGGCAGGTAACTTTTTGCAAGCCTGATTTAAATCTTTGGCAGAAACCCAACAACAATCTCCAGATGGTACCTCCAAGCATGGTTTATCAATCAAGAAAAATTGAAATGGAATTATCTCATCCATTTGGAGTAAGAGGATAGGGAATATTTGCTTTARCGAAAAATATGAATTAAAGAAATACAGTTTCAAGCTAGGCCAATTTGAATTAGCACATAAATGTCAAGTCTTTATTTACATTGCAATTATGTTCTATGTATACAGAAGCACAGTTAACTGGCTTATAATTTTGTTTATGCTGTTAATGTCTTTTAACAACTTGAACCTAGCTCTTGATCTAATGATGAATTAATAAAATAGGAATTAATGCAAAATTAATGTGCTTCCACAAAAGAGCTACTATATTGAGCAAAATCAGTTCTTACTAACTGAACACTCACAATATTCAGATAGTTTCTAGAAAGACGTAACTCATAACCTTCCACTGGCATACAAAAACAAGAAAAGCTGAGGAAATTTTACATTATTATCTTCAACAAATAACCTACACTGGGCAAAATCAAAATAGAAACATTTAATAGCTTTTGCCTTTTATGATTAAAACAGTTTTGTTTTATACATCCTAAAACAATTAATTTTCTATAAAATTTATAACTTTCAGAAACACATTTTCAGGCCATCCTTAATTTGATTTAATAGCCATTTCAGCTGAGTAGGACAGGTGATACTATAATTCTTTTACAGAAGAAGAAATCTGGTCAGAGAAATTAAGTTATTTATTCAACATTTTTAGTGTTCTCAAACCCTTATTTGATGTCCTAAGATTCCTAAGATGCTTTTTCTAAGTGGAAGAATTCCTCAGGAGAGTGATTAAGTAACTCTTTTTCTCCATAATAAAATACCACATAAAGAATAATCAAGTAGGAGTCACAATAAGCATCAAGCTAGGAGGGGATGGGCATAACCCTTTAATGCAGGTTGGTCTTTGGATGCCAAAACACTTGAACCTTTGGGTTATAAGCCACAAAAAAAAGTACTACAGAATGTATAGAGACTATCACCCACTAAAATACAAACACCAATAACAATGAATAGCCTGRGAAACTCCTTATGTGGAAATCTGCCAGAATACCCAAGGTATACAGAGGATGGAACACCCAGAAATCTCTATCCAAGTCCTTTCGTGAGATCCTTACCAGTCACAGGACAGGACATATTCAAACTGCCTTGGGAGTGCACATCTCCTAAACCAGATCTTACCAGAGAGCACTGCAGAGCCCATACTCAAAAGAGCTGATATCCATGAGCTTCTGCCTATAAATTTTTTTTTTTTTTTTTGAGCCCTGTCAAACATTAGTGTCACTCAATGTGGTTATGGCTATAGGCCAAGACAAGACAGCAAATATGAAGAGTCAGATTCCTCTCCCCACAACAGCAGCAGCATGTAAACCATATCTCCCACCCCACCCTCTCTAAAAGAAAGCCACAAAACAAGCCCATGTGCTGACACATGCAGCTTCATAACTCAGTGGGGAAAACATCCTGCTGATCCCGTGATGATGAACATAGCAAAATCCATGGATGAGTGAGGTGGGGGAGGGGATAGGAAGAAAGAAGCAAAAGGTAAAGGTACTGGGAAAATACCTAGGAATTTTAAAATCTGGGGGGTCTTAAAGATCAATAGTGCAGCTCCTAAGCTTCACTGATGAGAAAACTGAGGTTCAAGGAAATTAGGTATAACCACAGAGATTGTGAGAACATGGGATAGGAAGAGAGCCTGTCTGGATTTGAGACCTGTATAGTCTTGAATTCATAAATAAACCTCTTTAAGCTTCAGTTCACCCCTATATAGTAAGAATAACAAAACTCACTTCATAATTCTAAATATTAAGTGAGATCATGTATACCAAGTACTTGTTACTGGATATAATAAGCCCTCTGTAACAATGACAATGATAATAACAGCATGTGTCCTTACAGAGGGCAGACTCTGCACCAGGCCCCATTCCAAACCCTTTGTAAATGTTAGCTATAACTATCACTGCTGTTGTTAAATGTATCACCCAAGGCTGCACAACTCCTTAGTGGAAGTCTTAGGACTAGAATGCAGGTGTAAGGAAACCACCTCATTTCTGTCACTTACATATTTAATGATTTCCCTGTGTAGTTACTGTAAAAGCAGTTCTCCTAGATGGCAAGTGGAGTCAAGTACTTAGTTATAGGGCCCAGAAGGCCAATTCTGAAACTTCCTCTTTATTGCCAAGATACATTCTGGTTGAGGAACATCACAGAAGGTATGAATGAAAAAGAGCCCCAAAGATCTATCTACCCTTACTTAACTTGTCACAGGTCAGACATGGGGCAGTTATAAATAATATGTAGTCACAAGAAGGACTTTTATTATAGGATCCCGCGCATAATCCCATGAAGTGGATTCTGAGCATTTACCATGGAATATTTAATAAACCCTAAGACATTAAACCTTTAGAAGGKCTATGCTTGCAGCTCAAAATCCACAGAGAAACCCAATAATTGTGAGGCTATATTCAGACTAGGATTAGTTTCTCAGTAAAAACCTTACCCCATTTTTAGAATGTGAATCATAATGGGAGGCTTAGAGTCACCACAAATGAATAGTGACTCAGAATCAGCAGCAATGCCATCGAAAAGACGCTAGAAATTTCACTGAAGTTTTAAGCTTACCACTCCAAAGAGATACTTCTTTCTCAGCACTGCTTACCACTGAAAATTGGGAGGTGGACAATAAAATTTTCTGATAAGATTTAAGTCATCAAAGTAGATTTGTGTTATGTCAACCCTATAAAATACATTCATGACCCCTGAATATATGGACGTGCACCAGATGCCCTTGGAGAATGGTGACCCTTGAGTAGCTCACAAGCCAGTTGGGAGATGAAGAAACACAATGACAAACCCAAGTCTGGGAATAACTGCCTGCTGAGGGACACACTGCAAGTTCTATGACAGTTTAGCCATAGGGAATCTTTGAGGACTGGAATTCTAAGAGGCTGAGCAGGTTTCTTGGATTTGAAGGATGTCCTTAGTTTTAGACCACCAGAAAGGATGAGCAAGAATGTCTYTGGGAAAGAGGATCAGCATGAGACAAAGTTAACCATCATACCTCAGTAAGGATTGTTTCTGGGTCAGTATGATGGGAACAGAGGTACAGATTCAATGGGAAATGAGGAGATGCTCAAGGTTTAGAAGTAGAAAGACTGACTCAAGAAGAATGAGTAGGGGACATTAACATTGCTGGGTAAGAGCCTGGAGATGAATGTTATCAGCTGGGAAGGTCCCTCTGGTGTGTTCTACAAAATCAGGGACTGATATTATCAGGAAGAGGTACTGGGCACTCTGTTCTGGACTTGCTCTAGATTCTAAGGGTGCTAGGAAGAGCAATACACCTTTAGGTAGCTTATAGTCAACTGCAGGGAAATGTGACAGTGACATAAAATAATAACCCCTGCTTTCTGACCTATTCAGATGGGTTATCCATCAAAGTGCAACAGCAGAGAGGAAGGGCATTCAGAGGCTCCTCAGGGCCTCAGCAGTAGATGGTCTTGAGCTGCACCTTAAACTGGAAAGGAGGGCTCTGAGTGAAAGCAGAGGGGCAACGTCATTTAGAATAAGGGCACAGGAAGGGCATGGCTACCCAACTGAGTTATGTCCTGTTTATCTGAAGAGTTAAAGTGGTATCAGGCTTATGGGACAAAGAGAGCTTAGAACCGTGACAGCTCTAGATTTCAAAGTTGAGTTTGTTCTAGAAACTACCCTTTCCATTACCACTGCTGATGCCTGGGTGCAGCCCTCTTGGTCTCTCATCCAGTTACCAGTCTCTTACCTGTCTCCCTACCTTCAATCTCACTATCCTGTTACCCACCTATTACGCTTGAGTGGTCTTCTTAAAACTTGAATATGGCCATGCCATGGTCTACTTAAAAACTCCTTGATGGTTCCTCACAGGATAAAGTGATATGAGAAATAAACAAAGGCTCCTGATAGGAGAGGCATACCAGCTTTATCTATGGATATACCCTTAGCATTGAACAGAGCACCTGGGACACGTTAGGGGCTAATAAATACTGCCCCTTGATGCAGGCACTCTGTGATTCTTCCCTATCTACATCTCTAATCTCCTGCCATTACCTCCCCGTGTAAACCCTGCATTTTAGATAAACAATTATTTTTCTCCAAAAACTTTTATTTCATATACATTATCCTCTTCAACCATGTATTCATATATTTATCAATTAAATATGCTATTAAGTGTTCTCTCCACTTTTATTTCATGAGCTCCGAATCACCTTCAAGTCTTAGCTCACTTGTTGTCTTGGGTTTCGTTCAACAAGCTTTGACACCAAGTGGAAATYACTGAATTAAATGAAAGAGAAGACAGATTCTTTTGCTGTGAAGACTTTATGGTGGACATGTTAGCTATTTTTTTGGCCACTCAAAATTAAAAAAAAAAAAAGCCTTCCTTTTTTTTAAGAGGAAAAAAATGCTCTCTTCCATCCCTCATGACAAATTATTCATTTCAATGGCTGTTAGACTCTTGAAGAAATACT